AGACTGTCAGACTGACAGACTGACAGACTGACAGAGCCCTGTTCTGTGGGGTTTCACCTGGGCCCGGTTCTGACCAGGTGCAGCTCCCCACCAAAAGACTGGAGCAGAATGCTCTGGAAAGGTTTGAAAAGCAAAGAAAAAGCTCAGTCTGAAGGATTAAAGAAACAAAAACAAAACAAAACAAAAAAAAAAACACTTACAGAAAGGGTGACAGCCTTGAGATATCGTCGTGAAACTGACCGGCCCTAGGTAATTCAGGAATTTTGTTCATCAGCTTCTGGTTCCATCCGGGTTCCATCTGGGTTCCATCTGGGTTCCATCTGGGTTCCATCTGGGTTCGAAGTCTCACGTCTGCATTTCAACAGTGTATGGGACCATGGGTGTACCAACTAACTGAGAGCTAAGCCCGGTTGGTGTCTGAAGGATTTTTTTTTTCCTTCCTTTTCTTTTCTTTTTAAGCGACGAAAGGGTGGGCGAGCCTCCCGGAAACACATTGCCATTGGGTGTCCATGGCTGAGTGGGTGTGTAGAGTGGGTTTTATGACTGTGTCAGTCAGATTAGTTTCTCAGACTTACTACCGTTCTTGTCAAGGGTTTGGACCAGGTTCAGACCTGCTAGGATTGCAAGCCTTAGGTTGGTGTGAGTAAAGTCGACGACCACATTTCTCTCTCAGGGATGGGTATCACTAACTCTGGGCGATGTGGTGAGTCCTTATCCATCAGTCAAATGCATCCTGGGCAGACTGTATGTCCAGGTTCAACCTCCTGATGAGCCAGTGAAAGTCCGACGAAACAGTCTGTTCGGCGGCACAGTCATGCCTTTCTTGAGTGTATAGCGAATATGACAACACACACACACACACACACAAAAAAAAAAAAAAAAAGGAAACTGAAATTTTGAAAAGGACCACCGCCCTTTGTGTCAGTGAGATGGAACTCTCGTTCAGAAAATCTCTTCCATCTTGTCAGATGATCGCTCTCGCTCCACTATGAAAGACTCCACAAGTATCTGGTTAACGTGGCTGACCGGGTCCATTTGGAGTGATCAAAGATGGTGAATGTGTGGAGACTGCTCACAGCTCCCGATGCGTTTAGAATATTGTGCAGTGCAGCGAGCCCCCCGATATTATTTATTATATTATTGTGCAGTGCAGCGAGCCCCCCGATATTATTTATTATATTAAAAGGAAACAAGAAGAGTCTCAGAAGGAAAGGGCCACTCACAGCACCCGATTTTGTGCAGCGTGTCGGGACTGCTCACAGCGCCCGATGCATTTAAAATAAATATTGTGATGTATATGGTTTACCGGGCAGTCCTGTTCGACATTTTTTTTTTTTTTTTTTTTTTTGGGGGGGGGGAACCTGTTCAACACTATGTGAAGTATGGTTACGATCCGGACATCCGGACCGCAGTGCAGATGGTCTGGGCCTGGATGTCGGGGTCTGGTGTCCCGACCAGAGTGTCCAGAATCCAGATCCATCCCCCCCAACCCCCACCCCCGAAAAAAATCCGACTTAAAAAAAGATACAAAAAGTACTGAAAAAAAGATATTTTATGCAGCATTGCGGTACAAAAATATTTTGGCTGTACCCAAAAGCCGCTCAGTTGGCACACCCATGGACTGTTGACATACAGACCCGGGCTCAAATCCAGATGACGATGATGGTACATGATGAGTAAAACCAAATATATTACTGAATTGCCTGGGGCCGGTCAGCTCAATGATGATATATCCCAAGGCCGTTGCGCTTTTCAAAAAAGGAGGAAAAATCTCTTGGCTGAGAACCATCTCGAAATTCGTAGCCAAATTCGAGGGACAAAATGAAAAGCTTTTTTTTCTTTTTTTTTTTAAGGGGATTTTTCAACCCGGATGGTCTGGAGCAGTTCAGACACAAGTTTGGCCGGATGTCTGGACTGGTCCGGTGTACGGGTCCGGCGTAACCATGACATTAGGGGTTGGTAAATAAATATATCATGGTACTTAATATTTATATTATTAAATTTATTATATATGTTTGATGTTTGTGTTATGATCCTACTCCATCCATAGTGCAAAAAAAAAAAAAAAAAAAAAAAAAAAAAAAAAAAAACACTACAACAATTTTTTAAATTGTTTGGTAAAATAATGCAAGACTTGCTGAGATCCAAAAGAAGAAATGAAGAGAGATAAAGACAAGATTAGAAAGGAAAGCGTTGCAAGGAAAATGAGCAATGCGAAGTCCAGAAGCCAAATTGCATTCATCCCATTCAAAGCCAGAAAGAAAAAAGTCATGTGCTCGAACAGAAACCAGAATGCACCTGGTCCAAGATTATGAACACCGAACAAAGAGCACAGCAATGAACTCAATTGACAATGTAAGCCCTGATCTCTTGTCTGTCAATGTGTTTCCATATCGCTCTTCTAGATGACGCCCGGCGCCCACCTAAACTAGCCTAGCCTCTAATGACGTCAACAGGTCATCCTGGAGTGCCGTTGCCAGATGAGGCATGAAGACTTCGGCTGGACCGACCCGCTCATCATCACCAGGTACGTGCTCTCTCCTCTCACGTACGCTGCTCATCCGCCTCTCACACCACACTGCCCTCGCCCAAGGACCTCTGCTCAACCTCTTCTCCCGCATACATCAGACAGCGGCCCAGCTAATATGGCCGCTGCTGAGCCAGGCTGCGCCCAAGCAGCCCTTACAGTGCACCCCTGCCCAGCACTTTCACCACACCCCCTGTTGAGCCCTCAGCTCATGCACACGTGAACCAGCGATCCAACATAGCTCATGCCAGCCAGCCAGGGCATCAATGAGGAAGTGCCTGGCTGCACTAAGTCTTCCTTTTGTGCAGATGCTGGCTGGGGGAGGCAGCTTCTGGACTGCTCGGCCCCTCTCCCGGTAGCTCCGCCCACGGCCCTTCTAGAATGTGCCCGGAGCTAAACTGTATAAGTGCCCTGGGCCAGTGGGCCATATCATCTTTCTGAGCCCCAGCTACTGATCGTGCAAATAGCATATCCAACCCCCGAACATGGGTATAGCAAAATGCCTCTATGACAGTAAGTGTTGTGCAACTTTCCGAAATAACCCACTTGCCAATTGGATACGAGTGTCATCTTTTGCATATACCCCTACCCAGCCCTGGGAAAATTGTCTATATGCCCCGGTATTTTAGAACCTTGGACCCTGCAGATGGAAAAAGAAATGTGCATGGGCCCCTGTAGCCCAGGGCCAGGGCATATGGCGAAGTTGCCGATGAGCTGGATGGGGGCAGATGCAGAAGTTTGCGGCATTTCAGTGTACCCCTATGTTTTAGGGGTATCTGGCGAAATACCCAAACTTTTAGGGGTATTTCAACAGTTTTCCCCAAAATAAAGAAAAAAACAAAAAAGTAAAGAAAAGAAAAAGAAGAAGAAGAAGGAGAAGAAGAAAATGCAACAAACCAAAATGTGTGAGGACAGAAAAGGATGAAAAAAAAGGATGAATAGAAACCATAGACGGGGACCAACACGTTATTACTCCATACATCAGATACAGAGCCCATTGGGGGTAAGAATGTGGATGATTATTATTCATTTATTACTTTATTATATTATATAATTGGATAATGAAAATAATGGGGAGAATTTTAAAGTCTTAGCATAGCCCAATAAGCACACTTCTATTGGGCTCCGTTATTAGAGACGGTACTTACCAGAATAGGAAGTAGCCTTGCATGCGTATCTATACAGTGCTTCCCCTGATGATGTCTATCCCGGCCCATCAGATATGAGGTAGCAACACGTGAAGGACTACATTGCCTCAGGGTGCTATGTGTGTTATGGACCATTACTGTTTTTATATACAGTGTGCCCTGGAATTTCGCATTATATTCTTTCCTTGCCCTGCTTTCATCTCTCCTGTCTTCTTCTTCTTCGTCATCTTCTTCTTCCTCGTCTACTTCATTGTTTTGTACCTCTTCTTTGTCTTCTTCCTTTTCTTCTTCTTCTTCTTCTTCTTCTTCTTCTGCTGCTGCTGCTGCTGCTGTTCTTCTCTCCTTCCTTCGGTATTTTTTCTCTCTTTTCTCTCGTTCTCAATTTCTCTCTCTCTCTCTCTCTCTCTCTCTCTCTCTCTCTCTC